GTATCATCACAGCCCAACCTAAGCTGAGCTACATAAAAAATAGCCCTCAGAAGACGTTTACTGCAGAGGCCTCAACCCTACGTCAGAGGTAAGAAATAAAAATGCTTTTCTCACAGTGCTTCTCCAACCCGCGTACAATGCAAGAGAGCAGAATAGGAAAAGACTCTTTCCTATAAAGGGCTAGTATTGTATTCCTTTCAAACTGAGGTAATCATCTTACTAGCACTCAGCCAGCCTCTAATTTTTCGATCTCTCCACACTAAACCGAACAGCAAACTGTACATTCCTAAACGAACTTTTATTAATAGACTTTAAATACCACAATAAAATTTCAAGAAATGACTGAAACCTCTTGCTGTACTAGAATTTTGTTGTACAATATGTGATTCCAAAAGGGTCACAAGGCATGGAAAGATGCTTATTTTACAAATTTTTAATGTTCTAGTACCAAATTTGACCCATATCCCACAATACACATTGCCATTGAGATGGGACATTTCAATCAACAAAGGAATAGAAAACCTGTATTTCTCTGTCCTTGGGTTAGAGTGGTGGCAACAGACACCAATGAATCATACATCTTACCTTAGCTTATTAAACAAAACCAGGGCCCTGCTTTGTGAAGTCACCTTGACGTCACCTTAGTGCCTTCTCATATACTTTCTTCCAGTGCATGATACCCCTTAGAAGGTGAGACTTGGGAGAACACATTTGGAAACTGTGCTTCCTGTCTTATCTTCAGACTCCCTTGTGACTGGGAACCATGCAAGTGCCTGAGCTGGTTCATCCGTTGAACCAAAGAAGCCCAAGTTTCAATGTCTCTGTGATCTGACTCTGAGGATGGATGGCAGTAATGCTTCATGCTTGGGGCGACACAGCAAGCCATGTGCAGGCTGTAGCTATTAGAAAATTCAAGCGCATGACTGCTCAAGGGCAGTCACCCAGCAAGGTCATACTATTCCGACATCCTTTTCGGCACTGCACCTGCTCCCTATCATTCATCAGGCATCTAAACAACACAAACTCCTTGGGAACTAGCACAGAATGGTGCTGGGAATAAGCCAGGAACCGCAACAAGAAGGATATTAGTCCGTGTGTGCCCATGCGCACAAGTGCCCCCAACGTGCAGAAAATCGCATCCTTCAAATGAAACAAGTCTTGCTTTTGCTTACATTTTAATACTCTGCTTTTAAAAAGTATTTAATTATCAATACCACATAAACCATAGCAATACAGACCAGGCTGTTTTCTCTACAGCCTTCCTAATATTTCTAAGGAACCCTAAATTCACCATCCTTCCTGTGTTCCCAGGGTACTAAAAACACTAAAAACACTAATTTCACGTAGGAAATATTTAAAATATCAATGAATATAATCAATCCCCAAATACTATTTCAAAACAATCATCATTACTGCTTTGCTCATAGTGGAAGAGTGTAGCTAGTTAACAGCCTCTAAAACATATCCCAAGGCACCACAACTCAAGTGGAAAAGTGTAACGAAAACATACGCTGGACAGTTAAGCTGGTATTTAAATGCAGCACTAAAAATGCATTTCACACCCAACTTCATCAATCACCAACCAATCTTACTTTGCATCTTGGCTACCCAAAGAAAATGGGATTTGTCTCCCTGAAGAAATATGTCACTGCTCTGCTTGAATTATTAAGCTTTAATATTACAGAGAGAAACAGTCAGGAGGGAAAAAAAAAAGAAAAAGAAAAAGAAATAAAATTAGAGCCAGGTTGCCATCTACAGACTGCTATCAGTACTGCTCATTCACACAGCATTACGTATCAGGGTGTCAGTGAATATCAGCAGTAAAAAAAAAAGAGGCAAGATTTATGACTACAATCTTAATTATAAAAAAATTAAGAAAGCCTACAAATTCTCTTTTTTTCTAATTAACATGAGAACAGCATATAAGTGAAGAACACTGGGTCAAAAGAATTGTATAATGTAACATATGCTATGAAATAATTACAGTCATCCTAACTCTAAAATTTAACACTTTGAAATAAAACTGAATAGTTTACTTAATTCCAAATTTAAAGTATTTTTAAGTAGAACAAACTGTGTTTCATTTCTAAAATCGAATTCTTGCATTTTTTGGTTTGATATCTGTATACAATGTGAAATGATTACCACAGTTAAGTCCAGTAAACATCTGTCCCCATACATAGTTACAAAATAATTTTCTTGAGATGAGAGCTTTTAAGGTCTACTCTCTTAGCAACTTTCAAATATGCAATACAGTATTGAATTCTTGCCATTTTTTACTCATTATCTTAACTCATCACACACCTTCCCTTTCACTTTGTTTCAAGTAATTATTGCTTTTACCTTTTTAAAGAATAAGAGCCCTCTTGAGGCATGAATATCCAAAAGCACACGCTTGGTTCTAATCACTAAAACAGATGACATTAAAGCAAAAAGCAACTGTAATAATAAATAAACATGAAGTCTTAATTAAGGAGTAAAATAATGAGACAGGGAGAGAGATACTTCTGATATTATAACCTGGAAAATTTCTATAGCCAAAGACATCTGGAGGGACATCTGATAGAGAAACAGCTCAGTTTTTCAAGAGTATGGATTTAAGCTAATGTCCTTGAATTTACACCAAGTGATGATTTAATCTAGTAAACTACACGAAGTATATATTTTTTTCATTTTCCCTGGAAAAACTGTTTTTTGTAAGCCCAGACTCATCGTTCAGGTAATAATATATTCTTTTCATCAAGATGAAAAGATACAAAATGCTTCAGCTAAACTTTTATATATGCTTCCGGATCAGTGGTATAAGCCTCTTACTGGGAAAAATATTCAGCTCCCAAATCTTTCATTTGAATGTCACCAGCAGTTCTATGATAACAATGAGATCCAGCAGTTAAAAAGCCATAACCTGTACATTATAAAACTAAGTTGGAAAATACCTACTTAAAATGGGCAATTAGGTAAAACAACTGCAGGATTCTCTAAAGACAAGAAAGGAGAGCTGAGAGCTTCTAACCTTTTTAAATATGACTCGCTTCAGTGTTCAACATTCATCCCCACAGATACAATTTTTGTTGAAAACTATTTGTGAACTTCCACAAAAGCAAAAATACTGGTAATTCAACTTTTTATTATTAAAGGCTTCTTTCCTGTATAAGAGAGAAATGTTGATACAGCCTCTTGTGTTCCCAAGTTTCTACAAATGAAATATCCGACAGAAGGATGGTTTTCCTTTCTTGAGGGACAACTACCAAATCTAAAGCCTTTTAACAACTATATCAGAAGTAAGAGTTGAGGTGTTCATAAGCTAATAATATAAGAGCCTCAAAGAATATAAGCGAGTAACATTTTATAAAAAGTCTTTAATCAAAAATAATTCACGCAGAGTTTAAAATGGGTCCTGTTTCTTAGTGGGTTTTAAAGTATTAAAGACTTATCTATTTTGTAACTTCCATCATTCATTCCTCAGTATTTGCTGACTCCTATCTACCAGACCTGTGCAAGTTGTTGGGGATTTAAAAAAAACAAAACACAAAAAAAAACTAGTAAGACCTAGCCTATGGCCTTGGGGGCTTCACAATCTAGTATATACTGATTAGAATACATATTTGTAATGCTCAAGGTGTGGCATGTGCTTCCAGACTGGCTTTTTTCCTTTGATGTGTACCATACAGTAAGCATTCAATAAACATTTTACTTCGTTTCCCCTCGGTCTCCATGGCCACTGAAAAGGATTGCCCAAACTTACTAAACTTTAAAGGTAAATCTTAGTATGAATCCATACTTTGCAGATGGCTATTGGGGCCCCCCAAAAGTTAAGTGACTTGCCCAAGATCAACAACAGAACTGGGACAAGAATCTAGGACTCTCAACTTCCAGCTAATTTCCAACATTTAAATCGTTAAAGATTAACCCACCCTCCTCCACTCTTTCTTCTCTGTGTATTGGGTTGTCAGAAAAGTCATGACATATTTTTTTCTATGTTTTTCATTGCAAAAATGTGTCATGACTTTTCCGACAACCCAATAATTAACTCATTCATTTAGACTCTTCTTTCAACTTAGTCTCAACACATCTTTCTTCTGACTCTTGAATCATCTGTGCAGCATCCTCTAAACCCTGACACACATTTATGCTGTCTCCTCAATTGTGAAGCCCATAATTCTAATGTGACCCTTCTTATAGGCTCTGAAATGAGCTGGAGCTCCCAGATGGAAGACGGAGCTCTGCTTATGAATCCAAAACCTTATCCCATCCATTCTCTTCCTGGGCACCCCAGTATGTCCCAGCCAGCCCTCCATGCCACAGCATCACCCCACTCTCGTGTGCTTGCCCCACTGAGAACAAACATGCTTGGAACAAAACCAGAAAGAGCTTATCTTCACACACACAAAAAAGCGAATGTGAAAATTCAAAATTCTATGGCATGTGTCAGTTCATCACACTTTTATCTTGAAATCTTGTACTAATGCACATTTTTAAAAAATTTGTTTATACCAGCTTTCATCTGGTAATGCAAGATATATAACTAAATTTAGTACATATTGTTTATTGGTAAAGTTTTGTGTGTGTTTAGTATTCTCGTGGATATCAGCAAAATTAGTAAAACATCTTTTTGGAAAAAGTGATCTGTGACTAAAGGTAATTCACAATGCATGTTGACAAAGTTTGGAGACACACAAATAAGAGAGGTCAATGTCAGTGGTAGTTGATAAAAATGTTAACCAAGCACTTTCAGTAGGAGCATGAGATGGTAAAATTTTGTTTTATAAAACCACCACTAGAAATATTTTATCTCAAAACACATGTCCTTGTAGCACAACCTCTAATTACAAATAGAAAATAAGCACAAAAAACAGCAGCACCTCTCATACAAAGAAGTCTTTTGTGAAAACTCTCATATATGAAGACAGGGGGCCAAAGAAACAAATGGGTCTATTTAAGAGTTAAAATTGTATCAGAGTCTTAAGATAATAATAAGATAGTAGCAATAACCAACTTACCACTGTTTGGAATTGTTCGTGAATTCTTTAATTTAACATTTTGTTTCCCTTTTGTGGGTTTTTCCAAATTCACGTCCGCTTTTTTCCCTCTCCTCTTTGGGGGCTGAGGAGATGAGTTGTCGCTGGATCCGACGGTTGACTTAGACTGGCGATCGTTTCCCTAGATGGCAAAAGATTATATAGACCCTTACTATTGGCTAATGAACGCCCAAAGCAATTCCTAGTCAAATCCAAGTCATTAACTAGTCATTAACTAGTGGTAAATAGGGCAGTGACAGGAGATGGATGTATTGTGCTGATTCTGCTGCTGTCCATTTTAAGACATACAATTAACTCTTCCTAGCGGCAAAGGAAGGGTCTAAATGAGCACTGATGATTGTTGAGTACTTAATATGTGCCAGGTATTGTATAAAATTATTTCACTCAATCCTCATACCCCTGTGAGACAGTACTGTTATCACCCCATTGTATAGAGGAGGAAAAGAGGCTTAGAGGTTGAACCCTGCCTAAGGTCATGCAGCCAGCAAGGAGTAGAGCAGGTCCTCTGCCTTAACTATCGCCTCCTTTCTGTGCCTTTCTGAAGAAATCAGCCGCTATCTATCAGATGAGGAATAGTGATAGCCCTCAGTTTGATAAGTTAATCTAGGAACACCTTCTTAACTATAATAGTTGTCACTGTGAATGTATAGGTATCGTCACTCGAGCAGACATACACTGTGCTTTTAGAAATCTTCTAATAGTTACTCATATGTTGGTGAATGCCATGGTCTCTATGAATTGCAAATCCAGAGCAACAAGACCCCAGGAGTTCAAGACTACATGCCCCCTGATTCCTGCAAGGCAGCCACGATGGTTACACCTTTGGTGGTTGCCTCTGGTCCCCACGTGCCTCTCGAAACGAAGACTCTTCATCTGCAAGGTTGGCTGCTCAGCTCGAAGGTGAGGCTGAGTTTCAGTGGCTCCAGTCACTGGCCCAAGTACAGCTCCTGGGGAGCCGCAAAGCGTCACGACAGTGGTGGCAACTCTAAATGCCCAAGGAACAGCTGTGCTGATACTCAGCCACTGCCTGGCCAGCACTACAGCAAGAAACTCCCTCCTAACAAGACAGCGTGGCTCTCGGATGCTCAGGTGCTAAACGTACCTGAGTGTGTAAGGTGTCAGACGGTAGGTAATGGAAAGAATGCAAGTTTTAGAGACCCAAATTACCTGGCTCAGAGCCACTTCTCTGCCACTAACCACTATGGGGCCTTGGGCTAATTCTTACCTTCTTTGAACCTGTTTCCTCATCTGTTGAATGGGGTTAATGTACCTGCCTTTAGGTCTATCATGAAGATGAAATGGTAACATTTATAAAGAAATTAGTCCAGTGCCTGGCATGTAGTATTTGTTCAATGAATATCAGAGTGCTTTCTCTAAGAGCAAAGAGGTAATATCTTTTTTTTTAATCCTATCAAACTCACACCATATTGGGTGCAATCTTTATACAACATCTGTACTATGTTAGTACCTGAAAATGAATGTACAATAGTAATATTAAATAAACAAATCTGCCTAGGAAACTACAACTGCTCATTATAAACATTTATATATTCAGTCATCCAGAAGCATTTAAGTAGTTTTAGCCATCGCCCAATTAAGAATAGAGAAATTCACAGGCTTACAAATGAAGCTATTTATGCTATTTTGTCATAGTCTACAAGATAATGAATTATGCATAGATTTATTAACAGTATGAAAACTTGTCCAAATCTGTAACACTTTTTTGCATAATTTAATTTTTTATTCCAACTGCACTTTAAACATACAGCTTCCATTTAATTATTGCATTAACTGCTACCAGAGGTTTTTTTTTTTTCTTTCTTTCCTTTCCTTTTCTTCAAAGGTTATGTCTTGCAAGGCCATAAAAGACCTAGCAGAAGAAATACATAATATGATTATAGCAAAGATTCCAAAACCATCATCTAGGGTTCATATTCCAGTCTATCTTCAACCAAGTCTGTACATCCCAAGATTTTAAAACTTTAAAAGCCTTGAATGCGGGGAGTAATCCTTCTAGAAAGCTTACTGGAATGTTCAGAGATGCTGTGGAACTTTCAAGGACTAAGTGAACTTCTATGAATGACAAAGTCTGGATCTTGGCACAATAGTTTTTACAGCTCTCTGGGAAAAGTCGTATTCACAAAAAAGGTATAACAAGGGAGAAGCAAAAAGCCCCATCCTGGAATACCTGGAGAGTCATATAATTTTATAAACTCTCTCACTGAATATTCAGGAAATTCTGATTTACTGAATTTCTGATAGGGACCCTGAAAAGCATGATTGGGGAGCATCAAGACAGACTAGTCGATTCCAATAACTATATATGGTAACTGACGCTCATGCATTCAATTATCCATTAATGACTAATAACCTGGTATTTTGTAAGAACTAAATTAAACTGAGAGCAAGGGAAGAATTGTTCTGCAATTAAAAAACTAGAAGTAATTTAAATGCCTGGCTTTTTAAAAAAAATGTTGATTCATCTAAAGTGTTAATATAAAACAAATATATACTAAATTATATAAAAATATATAAATTATATGTACTCGATTTATTTATATAATTAATTAGATAAATTATAGGTAATATATAAATAAATTATATATCTATATATCTATATATATATACATACATACACAGACATACAGAGGGTGCCAAAAAAATGTATACACATTTTAAGAAAGGAAAAAACTGTATTAAAATTGTAATACAATAAATGACACTA